GAGAGCAACAAATGTACAAATGTGCTCGACACAATGAATGTATGTATGGATTGTGATAAGAGTTGTACGAGCCCCCAATAAAATGATTTTTTTAAAAAAAGAGGTTCAAATTACACTGAATGCATTAGCCAACAACAAGGCTCCAGCAGTTGATGGAATACACATTGACATGTTTCAGCAAGCTGAAGAAGCACTGGGAGCCCTCACTCATCTATGGCAGGAAATTTGGAAGATAGCTACCTGGTCTGCTGGCTGGGAGAGATCCATATTTGTACCCATTACAAAGAAAGGTGACCCAACAGAATGATTACACTATAAAACCATATCATTGATATAGCAAACAAGTAAAATTTTACTTAAGATCATCCAACAACAGTTGCAACAGCACGTTAACAGGGAGCTGCCAGATGTTCAGGCCAGATTCAGAAGATGTAGAACAAGAGATATCATAGCTGATGTCAGATGGATCTTGGCTCAAAGCAGAGAATACCAGAAAGATGTTTACTTGTGTTCCATTGACTATGCAAAGATGTTCACTTGTGTGGACCATAACAAACTGGATAACACTGAGAAGAATGGGAATTCCAGAACACTTCATTGTGCTCATTCAGAGCTTGTACATGGATCAAGAGGCAGTTGTGTGATTAGAATGAGGGAATACAGCATGGCTTAAAATCAGGAAAGGTCTCCATCAGGGTTGTATCCTCTCACAATACTTGTTTAATCTATTTGTTGAACAAATTACCAGAGAAGCTGGATCATCTGAAGAAGAGTGCGGGATCGGGACGGGAGAAAGGCCTACTAACCTGTGATATGCAGATGGCATACCTTCCTGCTGAAAGTGAGGAAGAATTGAAGATCAAGGACTGTAGCCTTTAGTATGGATTATAACTCAATGTGGGAAGACCAAAATCCTCACAGCTGGATCAATAGGTAATATGATAAATGCAGAAAAAGTTGAAGTTTTCAAGGATTTTGCCTTGCTTAGATCTTCAATCAATGCTAATGGAAGAAGCTGTCAAGATATCAAAAGATGTATTGCATTATGGAAATCTGCTTCCTAAGACCTCTTTTTAGAGTACTGAGCAAAGATGTTATTTTGAGAACTAAGGTGTGCCTCACCCACAACATGGTATTCTTCATTGCCTCATATGCATGTGAAAGTTGGGCATTGAATAAGGAACACCATAGAAGAATCGATGCATTTGAATTGTGGTGCTGGAGAAGAATACTGAAAGTACCATGGACTGTTACACCAACAAATTGATCTGTATTGGAGGAAATAAAGCAGAAATAAGGCCAGCGTGTACCCTGGAGGCAAGGAAGGCAAGACTTTGCCTTGCATACTTTGGACATAGTGTCTGGCGAGACCAGTCTTGGAGAAAGACATCATGTTTGGTAAAGTGTTGGGTCCGTGAAAAAGAGGAAGGTCCTCGAGTAGCTGGATTGGCACAGTGGCTGCATCAATGGGCTCAGGCATAGGAACCATTGTGAGGATGGCACAGGACCATTCAGTATTTCGTTTTACTGTGTATTGGGTTTCAATGGGTCACAGCCGACACGTTGTCACCTAACAACATGGAATTGATGTAAGAAGACTGAGTAGAATTGCCCCATAGGGCTTCCAAGGCTATAATCTTTACCGAAGCATATTGCCACATCTTTTACCCCCAGAGACAATATGTGGTCTTGAACCACTGATGGTGGAAAAGTGGAATTAAAAGATTATAGAATTTTTCTACAAACTTTTGAAGACCCCTTGTATTTATTCATTGTGTCAGTTACATGATCTACTATCAAATGGAGGATGGGATGGAGTCTAGCCTGTTAATCAGGTCGCAGCTTGATGACCTCATTTGGAGATATGCTGGAGATAAATAGCTCATCGGAGGCCAAACCCATACTCTCTGCTTCATTTTCCTGCTGACAGGCCACATGGAGCTATGCCAATGCTGACATGTTTCCACCACCACTGGATCCGTAAGACTTTCTACCCACTGGCTTGTGATCTTTCTGCATTTGGCATCATTGTATGTGTTGCATGAGTCTGATGAACAATTTTTAGACTGGTATAGGACATATGGGCTAATATCAGACTTATGGACTTAAACTGGATTGGGCTGGGATGTTTTCTTAATATACAGTTACTCTTTGATATAAAGTTCTCTCTTATACACGAGTGTCTATGAATTTGTTTCTCTAGTGAACCCAGTGTAACACAGTCATGAAATATGTTCCACAATGTTTGAGAAACTGTTTTTATATCTTATTTTCACTGTCGGAATTGTATATATACTTTAGCTTTTTAAATGCCTTTGCAGTTAAAAGTTTAGAAAACAATACTTCTTTCTATTATAAATTAAGCTGGCATAGGATATTTTGCCTAAGAACATGCCAAAGCCAGGGGCAAATTAAGGACAGCCACCATGGACTCAGGCCTGAATTTTGCTGTCTGTTACCTGTCTGTAATTGTGTTCTTGGGGAAATTATTTAACTTCTTGAAGCTGCACTTTTCCCATCTGTAAAATATGAGCATATTTCCATGGAATAATCAACTATTTGAGCTATAAAAGGCATTTGCCCAAGGACAATGTGAAGGAGGAATAGAAATGGAAAACGGAGAAAGTGGGATAAACGACGTGTCACTGTTGAGATTGCACTTTGTGACATAAAACAAAATGAGTGTGAATTGTTGAATGGAAAACTGAGTTGCTCTGTAAACCTTCACCCAATTCACAATAAAAAGTTTTATTAAAGAGATATTAGCATCAGTCTTATCAGGCATTTATCCAATGGGATAATAATGCTTATGAAGTACTGAACATAGTGCCACCCATTTATTAAGTGATCAATAAATAGCCGTTTTGGGTATTATTACAGCTACTATTTATTAGTCACTTGCTAAATGGGTGGCACTATATAGCTATTTGAGTACTACTAGGATGCCCTGGTGGTTCAACATAATGGCTGCAGTTCTAACCCACCAGCCACTTGGGAGAAAAATGTAGCAATCTGCTTCCATAAAGATTTACAACCAAGGGAGGGACCACTAGAACTGATTGTATTACACAACTCATTTTAAAAGTGATTTAACCAAGGAAGTATACGAGATGTGAATATTATATCAAGAAAACCACGGCCGGGTGGGGGTGAGGTTGGGGGTACCAAATTTGACCAATGGTTACAATAGGTGAAGGGGAAAGCGTTTTTGCATAGGACGCCTCGAGTTGATGTCAATGGTGGTAGAGTAATTTGGAAAAGGAAATCAACAGTGGCTGTACAGCACATAAACAATGACACTGCATTATACAAGTAGAAGTTGTGGAATTTTAGAATGTTCTGTTTTTCCTACAATTGGGGGGGAAATGTATGAATGACAATGACTACAAAGAAGAAGAAAATGTTCTAGAATTCAATATGATGACAGTTGTGCAACTCTTCTGGATATGCTTGAATTGAATTCTATGACATGGGTAAAGTGCTAATAAAACTTAAAATTTTTAAAAAAGATTTACCACCTTGGAAACCCTACGGAGCAGTTCTACTCTGCCCTTTTTGATGGCTCTGAAGCAGGGTCAACTCGATGGCTTTTGGGATTGTTGCTATCTGCCCGTTGAAAGAACAGTTGTGATAAAAAGTTATACACATGAAACCTTGAATTGCGATCTCTAGATATTAGAGGTAGGACCTTTTAGAAGTATTTATATAACTGACCTTGTATTACTAAACAGTATTTAAAAGTTGAGGTCTTTGGCGTAATATGAAGGTGTTAGACGTGTATTTGAGTGTGAAAAATTAAGGTGTCTGAAGTAGGACTTTCATTATTGTTTTGACTAAATGTAGTCTTTCTCCTAAAAGTTATGTAATGGGAATCCTGGGGATAATGTTTGCAGATTATTCCTAAGGGGTAGGAGGGAAGCCATCTATAAAAAGAGCTAATTTTTATGTCTGTTTTTTAAATATTTGACTTTGAAATTCTCTTTTCAGTGTCATCCAACATGATTGAACGATCTACAGTGGAAGCAGCAGTCCAGGAATGCAGTCAGGCATTAGATGAAACTATGTATGTGCATAAAACAAACATTTTCCTTCTTTGAAGTTATAATTGAGTGGGTTATTTTTTAACTCTTCTCTTGGGAAAAGAATTTGGGGTCATCTTGTCTACTGAGGGAGCGTTGGTTATTTTTAAGGACTTCATTCCAAGTAAACTTCACTATTAAGAGAATCATCTTTATTGTTTTGCCCCATGATTTGAGATCATTGTATATTTGTACCATTCCTAATGAGTCCATACCCAATTGATCTAACTTTGTATTTTATATTCTATGAATGAATTGGATAATCAGAAGCTTAATTTACTTTTGTTTTTTTTACATTCTAAGAATGAATTTAACTGCAAGTTCAGAAGTATACTTTACTTTTGCTCTTAGGAATGTGCTAAGTTCAGCAACTTAACTTGGGTTTCCTTTTCTAACACTAAGCGGCCAGAGGGTAGAACCACAATTTTATTTCTTTCCACTATTTTATACTGTTGTTAACTGCTGTCAAGTTGGCCTGGCTCAGGGATTGGATTACGGTGGTTCCTGGGGGTTTCATTGGCTAATTTCTAAAAGGCGATCACAGGTCTTTCTTCTTCTCATGTTATTGGAGCTTAGAAACTTAATAACAATTTTTTCCTGGGTTTTATTTCTCTGAACATTTCCTCTTTCTTTTCTCCTTTGAATACGATACCTTCCAAATTCATGAAGATTAACTGGAAGGAAAAAAGTCTGGGAAAATGGGCTTTGAGATAGTTTTTAGTTTTAACAGTTCTGTTTGGGGCAGTAAAGATGATAGAAAGAAACCAATATTCTTATTTGGGACAGTAGTGGTTTTTTCCTTGTCAGAACTTACTAGAGCAGCTCAAAAATAAATAAAATGAGACATTTTAATTTTATCCTAGTGAACTCATTATTAAAGATATTAGACCCCCTAAAGCTATCAATGAAAACTCAAAATGATTGATTTAAACGTAAGGTTTATAATCCTAAAGTATACATTAAAGGTACCCCTTGCTACCATCAAGTGCTTTGTACCTTCAGTTGTCAGAAAGTCATCTCATCAGGGCACAGAGAGCAGCTCTCAATGTGTTGATGAAGGAGGGCAGGACAGTTAACTTGCCAAGATTGGTGGGGCCGTGCTTACAGTCCAGATTATGTCTTTCCGTCCATTGCTTCTCTGTCTGCTGCTCTGTACTTGTTGCTTCCTTCAGGGTAGCATGATATGTTTTTGACAACTTTCAATTAGAAGGATAAACAGAATTTTTAGGAAGCTTATTTAGATTATTTATACAATAGTGCTATGCAGTTTTAAAAATAATTTTATTCAAACATTAACTATGTTATTAAACAGTTGCTAGAAGTAAATTATTTTGTTGTTTTCATTTTCCAACACTAAATCTCAAAGAGATAGCCAAAACTTAGGGTTTTTTTCTTTTTTCCCCATCATTTTATTGGGGGCTCATACAACTTTTATCACAATCCATACATACATCCATTGTGTCAAGCACATAATCCAAACATTCCTGGAGTGAGGTCCAGGTAGTATGGCAGGGTTTTTTTTCTATTGTACCACTTCTCCTGGGGCACTGGAGTATAATATTTTGATTTAGAAATCATTGGAAATTAATCATATCTGTTCATAATATTGTAACATAACTCATAATAAATGGTATATATGCAAGAAAATTTGTTTAAGATAGGGCTATTTTATATATAATTATTATCCAGTAGAGGACATTGTTAATTTTAGACTTTTTGCTTGAGAGTACTAAACAATAATTTTTGTCTCTTGAAAGGGAAATTCATAAGCTAATGTTCTGCATCTATATTATTTTGTGGGACTTTAAGAAATTTTTGTATGAAATACATAAGGAAATATGAAAAGTAACTCATGTATGATATGAGATCACAATGCGAGTTATTAAGCTCATCTAGCATACTGTTTCCGTTAATCAAATCTTTTGTTTTTGTGGAATATCTTTCAGAGACCATATTTTCAATATCATAGGAGCATTTGATATTCCCCGCTTTGTGTATAACTCAGAAAGAAAAAAATTTCTCCCGTAAGTATGCCATCTGTGGATTAATTTTAGATGGACCTTTTCCAGGGGATACTCCCAGGTTTTACTTTTGTGTATTATGATAGTCATACGTAGGCTACTTTCTTCTTTCTTTTTTGTTTAGTCTTTTAATGACCAACCACCCTGCACCAAATTTATTTGGAACAGCAAGAGATAAAGCAGAACTATTTCGTGAACGATACACCATTTTACACCAAGTAAGTTGGGGGGAAAAGGTAATTTCAGCTTAAACAGCCTGCGAAAATTGGAGGATGGATTTGGTAATCAAAAATTCTGTACTAAATAGACTTTTATTTTTAGGCTTTTTATGTTTGAGACTGTATAGCAGATACAGAGATAAAAATATATTTTTCTTTTAATGACGATAAAAATAGTGCTTGTGTCTTTTATATGTTTTTGACACTGTGTTTAACATTTTAGAAACATTATTTCTCACAGTATTAATATATGGATCCCCAAACAGGACAAACTTATTGCTGTCTAGTCAATTTCTACTCATGGCATCCCTCTTTATTAGGAACTTTTTAAAAATTAGGAACTATTATTATTTATTTTACATATAGAGAAATGGACACCTAGAGGGTTAAGTAATTTTCCCAAAGATCATACCTAGGCAGTAGAGATAAGATTTCAAACAATTCCGGAACCCAAGTCTTGACACTACCTTATGAAGGTATACCACCTTCATAAGTGCTAGGAAAGGATACAAGTAAATTTTATTCAACTAAGTAAGGCTTCATGGAAAAGATGGCATTTGGCATGGGCCTTTATTGTTTTGCTCTTGTGGAAATAGGAAAAAAGTAGAAATAAAGTGAACAAAGGCATAGCAAAAGGGGGAAAATGGATTATGTCAGGACACAATAAGCAATCAGTCCATTTTGTGAAGTTCAAGGCCTGTGAGGAGGAATAGCATGGGATAAGTTTGGAAAGGCAGATTGGAACCACGTTGCGGGCATGCCATCAGTGGCACTATTGGGAATTAAGACTCTTCTATGGGTAGGTATAAGTCCCTGGGTAGTACAATTAATGCATTTTATTGATAATCAAAAGTTTATGGTTCACGCCCACCCAGAGGTACCTCAGATGAAAGGCCTGTTGATCTGCTTCTGAACATAATCAGCCATTGAAATCCTTTGGAGCATACTTCTCTGACACATGGAGTCACTATGAGTTGCAATTGACTTCACAGCAACCGATTCTCTTGGTAGGAGGAATGTTGGAATATTAGAGACTCAATCCGAGCTGGGTTTTTTGAGAGCTTCTCTACCAGCAGATTTTGAGATGAATTAGAAAATGAGGGAAGGCTTACAGGAGGCTTGCTATTAGTACACACATAGGTTGCCTGGATGAAGGAAGTGGCAACACTGGAGCAGTGGAAACCATAGTTAGTGGTGACAGACTGTATGTGAAGAGAAGGGGAAAGGGTGAGAAATCACGGATGATTGAAGATTCTGAGCCTGAGGTGTGATAGAAGAGTAAAATAATGATATGTTTACCAACAGGCAAAAGAGAATGTAGGCAAGATGATGGCAGGTTCTGTTGTAAGCTTTGAAGTTAGGTTGCCAGATGAAATGTACTTCTATAGCTGAGATCTGGGCAGACAATGATTTGGGAGGCATCTTACACAGCAATAGATGAGAGAGATGGTAGAGAGAAGGGGAGGCTGATAGAACTTGGGGGGCAGAAATCGAATTTGCAGGGCAGGGCAGAGCAGTGTTGTAGGACAGAAGCCTTTCAAGGAGGAGAAGATGATCATCGATAGTAAACACTGAAGAAAGATTGAGGAGAATGAGCTCTGAGAAGAACTATTCTCCCCTGCTGTCGTTGCCCACGAAATAATGCTGCCAGATTAAAATTCTGGAAGTGTAACTGTCATTTTATACAGAAGTCTTTTTCTTTTTTAACGTTTTATTGTGATTTGGATGAAAGTTTACAGAGTTGCACAGGAGTCTTTAAAAGAATTTCACTGCCCATTAATTATAAATTCCATTTCTTGACCATTGAGCTTTTCTACTGCAAATTTTTGTCTTAGTCTCTACTTTCCTAGTCAATTTATTTCTTGGAACTAAAACTGAATTATGGAATTACTGTCTGATGAGCTTCCCTTTCTGTGACTTAGCTGATGCTGTGCGCTCTGGGCTGCTCTCCCCTCTGACCTGCATTGTGGGAACCCTGTGAGTTTGGAAGCCCTTCTCTAAGTCCTCCTTGTATCTGAAGCCCATTTTTCCTTTCTTTTTTAATCATTTTATCTGGGGCTCATACAACTCGTATCACAATCCATCCATCCATCCATTGTGTCAAGCACATTTGTACATTTGTTGCCATCATCATTTTCAAAACATTTCTTAAGCCCTTGGTATCAGCTTCTCATTTTCCCCCTCCCTCTCCAACCCTCCCTTCCTGATGAACCCTTGATTATTTATAAATTATTATTTTTTCATGTCTTACACTAACCGATATCTCCCTTCTGAAGCTTTTCTTGATCCTGACTCGGATGCAGTCTCTTGCTTTGACCCCACTGACTACCTCTCAGGAGGTCTTCTCTCTAGCTTATTAGAGTTGGCCCCGCCTTTAGCTTGACACTTAGTCTCACTGTCAGACTGCAGATTTGTCTCTCATCTGGGGCATTCGGCACAGTGCCTATCATAGGTGCTCAGTAAACACATTTCTTTCTTTCTTTATCTTTCTCTTTTTAAATTGTGTTTTAACATCCAGGATACTATTTTGAATTTTTCACTTAACCTGTCTGAACCTCATTTTTGTCATTTGTAAAATACTTGGTATTTTTATTGTTATCTTCCTGAAAATAAATCCAATTGTCTAAAGATCGTTATCTTGCTTCCAAATCTTGGTTTTTCATTGTCCATAAGATACACAGCTTGACAAAAAAAAAATACACTGCTTGGCTTGTCATACAAAGTCTATATTGTTAGAACTTTTATAACTGGTGGGTATAGAAACTTAAACTTACTAAAACAGAAAAATAATGTATTGGTTTATTACCAAGAAGCTTGGAGGCTTACAGGCATCTAACATAGCTGCATCCAGGTGTACAAGCAATGTCTTGAGGCATCTACCTCTTCCCATCTCCTGCCTTTTTCAAAAATTGACTTTATTGTCATACACGTGCTCCCTGTGGTGGCGAAGATGGCCACGGTAGTCTTAGCAATTCCATGGGCAGAGCTCCTTTTGTTCTGGTAGTTCTAGCAAAGTTCCTGAATATATCTCTTTTTTTTTTTTTCTTTTTGAGAGTGAGTGATTGAATGAGATTGAGTGAGTGAGTGAGTGAGTGAGTGAGAGAGTGAATGAGTGAGAGAGTGAGAGAGTGAGTGAATGAGAGTGAGTGAGTGAGAGAGTGAATGAGTGAGAGAGTGAGTGAATGAGAGTGAGCGAGAGAGTGAATGAGTGGGAGAGTGAGAGTGAGTGAATGAGAGTGAGTGAGTGAGAGAGTGAATGAGTGAGAGAGTGAGTGAATGAGAGTGAGTGAGAGAGTGAGTCAGTGAGTGAGTCAGTGAGTGAGTGACAGTGTGAGAGTGAGTGAGTGTGAGAGTGAGTGTGAGAGAGTGAGTGAGTGTGTGAGAGAGTCAGTGAATGAGAGTGAGTGAATTAGAGAGTGAGTGAGAGGGTGAATTAGAGAGTGAGTGGTGAGTGAGTGAGTGAGGGTGAGTCAGCGAGTGAGTGAGAGAGTGTGAGAGAGTGAATGATTGAGTGAGAGAGTGAGTTAGAGAGTGATTGAGAGAGAGTGAGTGAGTGAGTGAATGAGATAGATTGAGTGAGTGAGTGAGAGTGAGTGAGTGTGTGAGTGAGTGAGTGAGTGAGTGAATGAGATTGAGTGAGTGAGTGAGTGAGTGAGTGAGAGAGTGAGTGAGTGAATGAGAGTGAGTGAGTGAGTGAGAGAGTGATTGAGTGAATGAGAGTGAGTGAGTGAGTGAGTGAGTGAATGAGATTGAGTGAGTGAATGAGAGAGTGAGTGAGTGAATGAGATTGAGTGAGTGAGTGATTGAGAGAGTGATTGAGTGAGTGAGAGAATGAGTAAGTGAGTGAGTGAGTGAATGACAGTGAGTGAGTGAATGAGATTGAGTGAGTGAGAGAGTGAATGAGTGATTGAGAGTGAGTGAGAGAGTGAGTGAGTGAGTGAGAGTGAATGAGTGGGA